GTTTTTCTATAGGTATTTTATTTATATAAGGATGAAAATTAACTTGTTAACATTCAATAATTTGTATAGTAATACGAATTTTTTTGCGAAATTTTATGTACTTATGTAATACGAAATTTATGTACTTATATGTAATTTATGTACTTATATGTAATACGAAATTTTAAATGAAAAATGTAACATACAAATTTATATATTAAGCTATTTTTTAGTAATATGAATAATAAATTTCGTATATTTATGAATTTATAAGTTACTTTTAAATATAGAAATTGAAAGATTTAATATAGAATTAAGAATGATATTAAAGAATAGATATTAAAGAATGAATAGAATTTATAGGAAAATATTTATTATTAAAATTTTAAAAAAAATTTTAATCTAAATAATATTTTTAAATAATAACTTTTCGAAAATTTATATATTCATTTATTTATATATTTATGATTTTAATTTAAATAGTAATTTTTACAAAATTTATGTATTTATATACTTATATATACATTTAAGGTTTTAGTTTAAATTATAATAATTTTTATATAAAATTTATAAGTTTATTTTCTTATATATAGATGTTTGTGTATTTATGTATTTAAAGTTTTAATTTAAATAATAATTTTTATATAAAATTTATATGTTTATTTTCTTATATATAGATGTTTGTGTATTTATGTATTTAAAATTTTAATTTAAATAATAATTTTTATAAAATTTATATATTTATATATATTTTGAAATATATATAATTTCATTAATTGTATTTCATTAATTTTATTTATATAAATTTGTCTAAACAGCTTATAATATTAAAGTTTAATATCGAAGATATTAAGAAAATTATTTTTTTCAGATATTTGTGAATATATATTGAATGTATATAATATTAAATATAGTGAATATTATGAACATATAATAGGATAGTAATTTGTTAGGGCTACTCCATATAATGCTCCTTATGCACATGGTTCCGGGGACTTGTGCGTTGGAAGACTAAGGAAAGGTGCGTGGGGTTTTTAGTTGGTAGTCCCTGCCGTTAAAATGGCGGCGGGGAGAGCCCAACACTACCCCGACGGGACCGTTAAATAGGTCCCGGCGGGGTGTGCATAAGGTGCATTTTCCCCACGTAAAAAAAAAAAAAAAAAAATTGTTAAATTATGTTGTATTACATTTCCAATTATATTTTAATAATGAATTTCAACAATGAATAACATAATATCCGACATGAACAATACCGTGCTAATGATTTTGTTTTACGGTCTTGTTATGCAAATTCAAATTTATATACTATATTGCAAAATAAATGCTGCAATTGTATATATTATATTATATATAAAATTATATATAATATAACCCTCCCATGGGGTACACCTTGTCGTGGTGGGAGGGCTTAGTACTTGGATGGTGCCTTGAGATTTATTTTAAATTTTTCTATTTACGATAAATCTTATGGTACCTGAAAGGGAAGCTAAGTACCCTTTCGCGTCGTCGGTGTCATCAACGTGCCGCGGACGGCTGCGCTTCGTAACCGCGTTTTCGCGTTATAGTATTATCGCGTTATCGCGTTTTCGCGTTTTCAAAATCCCAATTTCGTTTTTATCAACGAGTCTCTCCTTCCGACGCCAACTAACTGGGATGTTTCATCGAGTCGTTGCTTTGCGACGTACTCGCGCCTTGTGCAACGTGGCACTTGGTGATGCCGGCCGCGCAGAACGTATGTCCAGTACAAAATGTACATGGGCGCGCGGGTTCGATGCTTCGCGCTCGATCGGCTTAGTGATGAACACGCTCTGCTGCGTCAATTGATTTGGCCCGAATCGGTTAGAACTCGATCGATTGTTCGAAATGGTCGTCAATGGGTCCCTTCTCTTTGCTCGTCTACTCTACAGCCACACGCCTAGCGTGTGTTAACCCTGTCGAGGAGTCGAGTGGATTCCCCTAGGCACGATTTTCGCTCGGTAAAAGGGGTTGCCTCCCCATTTTCTAAATTGCTGAATGTTAGCTTTTAAAAAATGTGGGTATCCTCTTCTTTTATCGTCTATCAGCCTTGTGTACTGCGCTAGTGATATAGCATCCGTGCGGGTCACCTGAAATCGTGCTTAGCGGGTCCAGGTTCGATACGAGATAGGATAATTATGCGCGAAAAAGAGCTGGTGAACTTTATTTTCCTCTATTCCGTCAATCGTTTCGTCTTCTTTCCGGTTCGGGCCTAATCTTTGCTCGTTGTATCGTTGCATTCCCGACTTGTTGGCTCGAAATTGATTCTCGCGAAATGAAATGGGATTTTCGCTCGTACCGAAACCGGGAGTGTCGGACAAAGTATATATATATTAAATATATACATCGCGCGACAAAATTTTTAATCGTACCGAATTAGTGCGGGAGTGCCGTTTAGTATCGCGCGTAAAATAACGAAAATAGCGATATAAAAATATCGCTCGTGTGTGCGGGAGTGCCGTTGAAAGTATCGCGCGTCAACAACATGAGAGGAGGAGGAGGCCTGGGAGAGGCATCTTGCATCGGCGGAGCAACCTGATGGTGAATATTTATTATTTGTATATCAATTGTTATAAATCGTACGCATAATAATTCGATCTTATTATTTAAATGAATTAAAGAGAAAATTAGAGAGAAAGATTTTTTAAAAGTTATATAAAACTTTTTAAAAAACTTTCTTAAAACACAGTTTTAAAATTTTATAAAAATTTTCCACACGTGTTTATCTCTGCTTATTATTTTACACATCGGATATAAAATTCCGCGCGATAAAAATTTTTTGAAATATTGATTGCATTTTGTGAGCATTAATATAAATGAATTTTATATTTGTATGTTACAGACAACTAGCTTCGATAACAACAACTCCGCTGTTGCGCATCAGTGCCGGTGAGTGAGAAAAACTTTTATTTAACTTTAAGGTAACGGATTCGTAGAGATTGTAGATGTAGATTGTAGATTGTAGATTGTAGATTATAGATTGTGAATTGTAGAGTAAGTTCGTTGCCTTAAAATGGATGAGCTAGGATAGATTAAATTAAATAGCTTTTAATAAATTCTTTCGAAATACTTTGCGTCTATTGCGAAAATATATTGAAGTATTAATTTAAAAAAGAGAATCAAGAAAATAAATTTTTTTTTGTAAAGACTTGACTAGTTTATTAAATCAAGAGCACGCATTAATAATTTTAACAATTTTATCAATTTTTGATACTACTTTATTCTTATAACGCGCACTTATTTTATTCTAATTTCTTATATCATAGCTCATCCATTGTAGAATTTGTTTGTAGATATTGTTTTTAAATTTTACTTTAACTTAAAATAAAGCCAAACGATTAATTAATTAAATAATTTGTAATATCATAAAAGTTATATACGTACATGAATTTTATATTTTATTAGAAAATATAGTATATAGAAATTTGTAGTAATTTGGCTTTATTTGAGTTAAAATAAAGTTATATTCAAATATTTAAGAAACGATCGTAAAATTGAGCGATCGTTACGATGAGCGTGAAATATGTACGCTCATTTGCCGGTAATTAATCGGCAAAAGAAGGAATGTTTATCTCCTTTTTCGATCTCTGATTAGAGATCGAGCGAGAAAGTGGCCAGAATCAACGAAAAGTAAGTTTAACTGGCCTGAAGAAAAGCTTTACGTACAATAGTACGTAATGTCGGACATTTATTCACGCGGTTAGGGCATGCGGTTAGAGAATGTAATTAGGGCACGTAATTAAAATATACGTGATTAGAGATAGGCTTTCCTCGAATAATTTCACTTAATCGAGAAATAGGATTGTTAGGGCTATTATGTGATTAATTTAGCTGATTTTATATTATGTATCTTTTAAGGAATCAGGAAATGTAGATTTTAATAATATTAGGGAAAACTAATTAATAAATATTTCAATAATTATATTATTAATATTAAGAATTTTTAAGGGATCAATATTTTTTGATTGTTTTTTAAGAGAGTTTTTTTTTCCACGTAAAAAAAAAAGAATTGAAAATTTATTTTGTATTACATTTCAAATTATATAATATTATATTTTACATTAACTTTTTGTATTAAATTCTGATTGAAAGAAAATAAAAAATTTTGTTTTCTCGATGATATCTCCTTCTTAGGGAAGGCTTTTGCCAGCTGAGGAGGTTTGAGTATATTAATGAGTCTGAGAGCTATGCCGGCGGTAACATATACCGATATTCGTATAGACTTTTCTTATATTTAAGATAATTTTAAGTATGATCTTAAATATAAAAGTGAGTTATGAATACCGATTATAGTTATTGATAGAGTCATCTATGCCGGACAAGGGGAAGTGTCAGACTAAGAGAAATACCAAAATTATAAATATATAAATATATAAATATATAAATATATAAATATTTGTTATATTAATTATAATAATATTTTTAAGTAAAATGAAAGAAAAAGGGACAATATTCGAGAAAAAGGCAACTACAGTGATTTGAATATCTATACCTGAGAACAAATGTCCATAGAAAGTATTTCGATGGACTCCATAGAAAGGAATGACAAATGATGATAATTTTTATAATTTTAATACAAAGGAATACAATAAACCATAATAATCCAAGAATTCGAAGAAGAGAATATATTGGATAGAAATGCATAATGATTGAAAATAATTAGAAACTAAAAGACAGTGTGCAATCTATTTATTAATAATAATAATAGCGTGAAAAGAGAGAACATACTAATATTTTTATATAATAAATTATTATTAAATTATTAATTAAATTATTTATATTTTTATTTATATTATTTATATTATCAGAGAGACATATGTTACCCTCTGAGAACATTCGTGGATTTTGGCTTTGTAGTTCATGTTCACGTTTTTAATGTCCATAGAGGGAGTATCGCTTCCAGGGATCACTTTAAAAGCGGGCCATGACATCTATCAGTCTTCTCTCTGTATCAGCTGAGATTAGTTACGGAAACGTCAAATACATATGTATACAAAATTTGTAGGATTTATTGTTTAATAGAGAAGGAGAGTTAAAAAAATATCTGTGAGACTTTTTGAAGTGACATTAGAATTTGTTTTATGAAAAAAGGGGGACAAAAAGTAGTGCTATAATCTTTTAAGAATAAATATCTCTGGAAGAGATATAAAATCGTGACACGAGTAAATATTGCTTCTTTAAATTAAAGATTACGTCGGCAAAAATGAATCACGTGGAGATCGAGGATTTCTATCATCACGATTTCACTACTGTTTCCGAATGGGAGGTGTTTATCGCGCGACTCGAAGAGATCATGCATGAATGGAAACTGTCCCATGCAAAAATCGCAAGTCCCCTCAAATCAGGGGACTTTCTCAACTGTGAATGGCATGAAACTTCGGAGAAAATAAATTTTGCAGGTTCAAATTTAAAGGATATTTTAAAACTTTATCGACATTTAAGAATTCAAGAGCTTATATCATGATATGCGAAATTATATTATATATAAAGTTAAATATTAATGTTGGATCTAATAAACAATTTAATAAAGAATAAAATTTTTGATAAAGGAATATTGATTCTCAGTTATCATACAAATTGTAACTAAAAGAAATATAATATCTATAGAATATCTTGAACAGAAACATGAGAACTGATGAATAGATAGATTTATAAATTTGTGGATTCATCATTCCATATTCTAGGACTTTAATTTCTATATACCATATTATAATGCAAATCTTTTGAGTGAAATTTTTAATCTTAACACTATGAATTTTTTATTAATAATTTTATATATTCCAGATGTTGAATTTTTGCTGAAACATTACAAGTTAAAGAAGGAAGATGAAGAAGAGGATGTGACAAATCCTCAAGAGGAAAGTGATGAAGATTGGATACAGTGTCAAAAAGATGCATTGGATGTATCCAATGATTTTGTGAGACTGAATGATAATTGCATGGAAATAGCTCGTTATTATGGTGTTCGAGAATTCCTTGTTCTAATACCAGTTCGAAAAACAAGTTTGACAGACGAGACGCGGATAAAAATTCTACTCAGTTCATTGACAATTGCGACTAACAATGCGAATTGGTAAATATAGTTGATTTGTAACATGAAAACTAATTTGTATTTCTAATATAGGAATCTTTATCATTTCTATGCATTTTAGTTATATTCCCGCGTTGGTGCAGGTGCAGGAACCTTGGCAGAAGATGTACCTCGGATGTTGTGCTGGTAAAGGAACTTGCGTGAATCTCGATATGGTCCATTTGAGAAAGGTTCCGCCACATTGTAAATACCTCACTGGTATATATCTTTTATATTTTAATTCATTCTAAACAATACGAAATTTGTCTTGTAATTAAAATACAAGTTTACAAATATTTTTGATAATTATAGATATAAAAATTTTACAAATAGATGGTATTTACAGGTTTACTTGCTCTCTTTAAGCAGAAGATAGGAGAGGGTTGCGGAGTAAAGCTTGATTCCATAATGGTATCAGTTAGATTCTCCTACTTGTTGAAGGATTGGACTAATAGTACATGGACGCAGGAACCTCCAGATTTCGATTTTATGCAAGGGGAAACATTAGGCGTAGCTGAATTGGGCAAACTTCCCTTTGGAGCGACCTTCGATCCTGTCGGGTACGAGCGATTTTTTTTGATTTAGCAAATAAAGGGAAAGTTAATTGTTATTAACAGAAAAAAAGTAATTTTATTTTTCTTTAAAAGAAGTAAATTTTGCTTTTGAGTTTAGCTTATTGAGCATCAAAAATTCTAATTTATGTGAAATATCTCTTATTTTATAACATTTTAAGAGAACTTCATCTGTTCACTACATGGCCGCAAATGTCGGATAATGTGGTTGTGGATAGCGAAGGATATTCGGATCTCGAGCCGCAACTCGCTCCCGAGTGGTCGGTACAAGTGAAAATGGTAACTTTACCTGCTTGTTTGCTTGGCGAGTATATGACTGACTTTCTGCATCTGTGCAACAATCAAAAAACTATGGTGGAATTGTTGGGCGAGAATGCATCTTATATCTACGATGATCAGATGTTGAGCTCAGCCCTCAACATACTTACCGAATCTAGAATACCCACGATTTCGACGGTCGTAGGCAAGACAAGTATGAAGAAAAATAAGAATGTCGAAGGTCCCATCTCGGAGGAGATATTGTTACCTATACTTTACTTCCTCTTTCCAGACGCAGACGATGTCTCGGTACGTATAGTTAAAACTTCAATGTTACTTCTATTTTAGACAAACAATTTCCATTAAAAAATCATATATATATAAACACAATTAATAACCGCAGATTAAAAAACTTTGCAGAAGTTTCCCTATAATGACATCACATGTAATGTGGAGGACGATCAGTGGAAGGGCGTAAAGACCTGCACAATGGACAGCTTGGTGTGGCGTTTGTCGGTAGTCGCAGCGCATTGCACACACAATCTCGGCGGTGCGACAGCCCTGGCTCAGCTCTGGCATGAGTTCGTGCAGGAAATCAGATTCCGCTGGGAGAGAAGTATCCTGATTCCGGGGTGAGTAGTGAAGTAATTTCTTTATTCGTTATTAATACGCCGGACGAGTCATCCTCATCATCGATGCGCGCACATACGAGTACACGTGCGAATACACTGTTATAAAAGGTAAACTTTGCGGAGAACTTTATAAGTCTCTCATTTTGTGTTTCTCCCGTTTTTCCTCTTGTTCAGAGACATTAAAAAACGTCGAGTTTTCACGATATGTCAGTTTGGTCGCGGTAGCGCTTTTCTTTACAGACGGATACTTCGATTACAGTCTTTGAATCGCAAAGGCAAAGAGCATCGCGTCACGATAAGAATCTAAAAATTGTGCATTCAAGCAAACCGAAAAATATACTCTCGGCTTGTTTGTTTCAACGATTTGGTAATTAAGAGTATTCTCCTATATAAAACTTAAAACTAGGACATACTTAAAACTTATCTAAAACCGCTTCTCTATCTAATACTCGCCATTCTTCCTAATTGCACGTATTTGCACAAATAATACACGTTAATGCCTGCCGCATGTTAGCATCGATCACGATCGAAGCTGGTAAGTTACGAATGTGCCGGAGAATTATTTTTTTTATCACACTGATCAGATCTCTGAGAAAGTTAAACTTAATCATATGAATCTTGTGACGAATATTTTCCAAAATAAGGTACTCGATGCATTCGAGAATTTTTCTCTTGAATTGAAACTATTATCTGGATTATACTCGACTTATTCAAGATTTTCTTTCTTTGAGATTAGACTTTGAGATTGTCAAGACTATTGTCAAAATTAACTTGATTACACTCGACATTGACTCAGTTCAAAAGCGAATCGCAAGAGCGAGAAGCACAATCTGTTATAAAGATTGGATACTCTATTTGAACACGCTTGAGCAAAAATGAATGAGATGTTGAGGCCACTGAATTTTAAAGCGGCACGAGGCCGCCCCTCGTAGTTGGATTGCGCGCCATGTAGATGTCCATGTCGTGATCGGTCCAATTGTTCTCATCATAATTGTTGAGAGTATGTGTAGAGTCTGCCAAGCTGTACCGGCTACTGGGTCGTGGCGGATTTGACTCGAGATTGCGATTACGCGATCGTGGTCGTTGCCGCCTGGCCGACGAGTGTGGCGGGAGGTGGTTGCCGGAAAAGTTTGACCGCGACATCCGGTCCGAAGCAGCCGCCAGCGATTGACGTGATTGTCGTAATTCTGAAAAAAGAAATGAAAATACGTCAATATGGAAGACTCGAAGATTAAAAAACGCTGATAATTATTATGCGGGACCAAGTGCAAGAACAGAATGATAGTAAATCGACCTGGTCTCGTGTTGACGAGATTGGAGGCCAACGTGGTGTTAGTGAAGTACCGCGAGGAGTTATTGGAGAAACTGTGCTGGGACTGGCCGTCGGCGATCGACCGGGCGGACACTTTGCCGCTATAGTGTCCGATCTGAGAGCGCACATCGTCGATACAGGACGCTCTGGTGATCGATCCTGAAATCCATTTGCGTAATTTACACTTTGCAAGCTAGACAATGGCAATTTATACTATCACGCAAAAGTATTTACCTACTTATATTTTTATCTTAAAGGAAGGATCAACAAATAAATATGACTTGTAAAAATTAAAATTAAAAAGAAGTAAGGAGGAAACTATGAATTATATGAATCGACAAATATTGAAAAATAACAAAAAAAAAAAAGACAACGATTTACCTTGTCGATCTATGGGAAAGATCCTTGGTCGCGGTATGCTTCTGTTACTATAGGCCGACACTTGGTCCCACTCTTTCTGAGCGTTGTAAGCACTTAGGGTAGCCATTGACGACAAGGGTCCGCCAGGACTGGGCGTTGGACCCACGTTTGAGCAACAATTGACCGGCAGACCGGCGATGGGACCACCCATCTTCGTCTGATCGATGCTGTGCAGAGTATGTAGCTTGCGGGCGCGGCGTCGATTCGCCACCACGAAGATGATCACCGCGACGACGATCGTGGCGCAGATCGCCGCGCTCGCGGCGATTGTAATCTTGTCCATGTTCGAGGTCGGTGAGTTTTCCGTTCTGACCTCACGGCACTGATTATACGGCACGTTCGCCGGTGTGATGTTAGTCTCCTCCAATGAGACGACGCAAACCACGATACATTCCTGCGAGATTGAAAATAATTTGGATAGAAATTTCATACTCTAAATGAATTATGATTTGAATCAAGAGTCAAATTACACAGCAAATTAAAAATATAATATATTACATTATAATATATTATAATATTATTATAAATGATATGTTATAATATTTATTGTGAAGCTTTATATTCTTTTTAAATTTAAATTAACGAAATTTTTTTTAACTTGATGTGTTTTTTAATTCGTGAACGTCTAGCAGCTTTCGTTTTGTCATTATTTATTTAGCATTCACTTCACTAAGACTATGTGTAATTATATCACTTTATTAAGATTGTGTATAATTAATATCATGTAATATATAGTATTTATATATAGCATATTTATATATTATATATTTGATATTTTATATATTCAAAATAGTCGCGTTTAAATACTCTTAAGAGAATTATTAGAATAAATTAAAATATAGGTGAAATTTTTCTTTTAGTCAAGAGACTACTATTTCACTTTTTCTCTATTTTTTATCACCAATTCATTATATTTCTTTGAATATCAAATTTTTTGTAATAAAATATTTTTTCTACCTGCGAGGGCACATTCTTGATCTTGAATTCTCGTTCGCTGGCTTCAAGCGGCGGTGCCTGTTTGAAACTATTATCTCCGAACAACCGATAGATCACTCTAAAGCCCAAAATGTTGGTCGCTTCAGTATCCCAATATATGATAACCGCGTTGTCTTGTCTGAGCACATCCTTAACAATTATATCCTTTTCATTCGATTTCGATTTGTACAACGGCGATCCTAAGACCAATGGCGGTCTCGGTTGATGTTGTTGCATCTGTTCCTGCAGTTGTTTCGGCGGCGACGGAGTAGTTCTCACGACCACGACGTTTCCGGTTCGCGCAGCAGTCGATCGAGTCGTCGAGACGAAAGTTGTGGGTGGTACTGTTCTTTTCTGCTCAGTCGACGATAATATCGTCTGTGCCGTGGTCGTAGACAATGTGCTGGTGATTAACTCGGTCGTGGAAATTGTAGATCGAATGGTTGGAAGATGACTATTGACATCTCCATCAGCTATCGTTTCCGTTGGCTCTTTGGTATCCACACTCTCCACCGTTCCGATTCCGATTATCTCCGGTAGTCGCTCGCAATTCATGTCTGTCAACAATTGATTTTTATAATCTTTCAAATACATGTAATATTTTTCAACGTTGAATATTAATTCTCTATAGTCAGCTTACCGCTTTGTATAACATTACTTATATGTATAAGTCAAAGTTAATTTTAAAGTCGGAACAATTTTATTTTCTATATATTAAGAGAATTGAAAATTCTAAATTAGAAATATTGCAAATTTTCTTCTTGAATTAATTAATTTTCCAAACGAAAAGGGAAAATTATAGTTTTCGTTATATTTTAAGCTAATTGTGTAAATTAAAAGAATTAAATTTTATTAATCCTTAGAGAGAGACTTAGAGAAAAATTAAGTTTTCGAGATTTTAGAAAATCTGTCAAATTTCGTAGGATTTACCATTAGGATCAATATTGTAGAAGTTTCTGTCTTGCAAACGTTGCGGACTACCACAGAACTGCGGCTTGCGTTCGCGACTGGTAACCTGTAGATCTCGCGTTTTAATCCAATCGATGATCCATCGTAATCGACAGTCACAAACGAGGAATCGTCCACCCAGACTTAGGCCGCGCAGGGTACCGTTTAGTTGAGCGAGCGCCTCTTCCGGTACCGTGGACAACGGGTTGCCATCGATCGCCAGCAGCGTGATTGACGGATTCCCTTGAAAGGCGTTGACCGGTAGTTCGGTGATCAAATTGAATCCGATATCTAGCACCTGGAGAATAATAATCATTTCGTAGGAAACAATATCTCTCCCGTCGAAAAAAAAAGTACAAGAGGTTACTATCCCTAAAAAGAAGTATACTAGTACATAAGAAGTATACTAAGAAGTATAATAGTACATAAGTCGAGAAAATAATAATTGAGAAAACTAATGCTAACCATTTTTTATACTTTTGAACCTATTAGAGAAGTCTTATTGATTTATAATTTTTTTCGAATTTAAATAATTTGTATTTTTTTAAAGTTAAAAACCCGAATTTTACGATTTTTCACAATTTTTTATTACTTACTTTCAAGTCGTGAACGCTGTTAATAGCTGCTGTAGGGAAATCCGGAATGAGATTGTTCAGTAGGCTCAGGGAACTCAGATTGTTCCTGATGCCGTAAAACGCGTCCGAACCGATACTTTGAATCAGATTTCTCTCGAGGTTTAACCCCGTGAGAAAATCGAGACCATCGAAAACTTTGGTTCCAGATGGGCCAGGAAGCTCGCGTATACTGTTTTGCGATAGATCGAGAAAATGCAGATTTTTCAAGCCTCTGAGAGCCTCTGGCACTTTCTTCTGTCGCGTCCCCTTGAGATTAAGATTCTTCAGCGTCCTCTCTAGACCACGAAACGCTCCCGGAGCGAGAGTGATTTCGTTGTCGGAGAGCTTCAGCGTGGCCAGTTTGGTACCGACGAAGGTATTATCGTTGACCCTCGTGATCTTGTTCATTGAGAGGTCGAGCACGGTGAGATTCTTCAAAGTCTTCAAAGTGGCAGTCGGAATTTCCGTGAGCTCGTTATCCTTGAGATTCAGACTTCTCATGTAGTATTCCTGGCCTTTAAAAGCCTCCGGCTCGATGCTCTTGATGCGACAACCGGACAACTGCATGTTGTGAATTCTCAAGTTGACGAACGAGTCGTTCCTCAAGACACCGATCGTACTGTTGTTGATATAGAAGAGATCGATCGACGTTTTGGTGGCATAACGTCGCATCGTCGACAACAATTGCTCATAATCGACGATGTCGCACTGCACCGAGAGCTCGCCAGCCAGATTGTAGTCGCAGATGCACGAGTTCTCGAGGTCCACCACGTGTTGCGCCCACGGACAGGCGGATGTCGTCGCCGCGGCGACGAGCGCACTGGCCAGCAGCAGCAGTAACTCCTTCGGAATTGCATCTGAAAGTTGAGATATAAACAATGAAACAACAAGAACGAAAAAAATATCTCGTAATTAATAAATCTTATAAAATAAATAAACTGACAAATATAGGTATTTTTATTTAACTTTCGTAAATACGAAACATTTATAAAAATCTTAAAAGCAATTATACTGAACGAAATTTGTTTTTTACCCTCAAAAGAGAGACTTAAACGAATAAATATAAAAAGATGTTGAATAAAAATGAGGTTTTAAATTAATTTCTTAATACACACGTTACAGTGTGTCTATAAAAATGTTTTGATGAAACAAAATGATTTATAAAATATGAGAAAGAAAATGAAAATGAAAATCGACAGACGGAAACAAAAAGATTATCGAAAAAAATCGAATTTTAATAATTTATGAAAGGTTACATTTGTTTTTAAATTTTTACACGACTAAAACTCTGCAAATAGCATGGATGTCATTATAACACATGTCATAACGCAGATAGATGCAGGGAGCGCATCCTCTTACAATTAGAGAAAGCGTCAATTCCTTTGGGCGCGCGTGAGTACACGTGTGATTTCGAAACGTGTCGCAACTCGGCTTGTGCATTCTCGCAATTATGTCGCTTTTCATTATAATGCCTTTCGCGCCTCCCTTCGTGGAGCCTTGGGACAGGCCATTTCACAAACGCAAAATACCATCCGGCCATTCTCGCTCATTGTCGGCAGCATATTCTCTTATTCCCCCTTTCGTCTTGTCTATGCATCCGAAGAAACGGAGCATGCGATTCCGTGTTTTATTTTTTTCTCGTAACGTTCTATTTAACTTCGAACCCGTGCAAAATTTCACGTAATGTTAACGGAAAATCTTTCGTCTTCATTTATCAAACATTTGGCGTAAACATTATATTTTGTTTCTAATCATAAGTTAACTTATTTGTGCAGTCGCGAAATTGTATAAAATAGTTAGATTTCTTAAAAGGCATTGTGTTTTCCTTGTGAATTTGTCATGCCATACACGGTCAATCGTCACGGTAATGACACGCATGATCCATTTCTCTCCATATATACAAGTGAAAGACATTATTCATTAGATCGTGCGAGAATGAAGCTTCACAACCTGCGAGAAGAGAAATCGCTATGATACTTCACGCTGTATCGGTATCGAAAGGCATTTAACACTTTGATGCGCGAATATTATTTGTTATCTGAGATAAATTTTTCTAAATTTGAAACTACACAGAATAGTTTTAATTTATTTTACACAAATATAAAAAAGAATTTTGATATTTATGTATTAATATAAAATTTAAAAAGTAAAGAATGTTTAGTGTTATCGAAATCGATCATTAAATTTTGATTCGAAAGTGTAATTAAATTTCTAAAAAATTAAACAGTTCAATTTCTTAGCGATAAGTTAGAGCGTGTAATATAATTACATAATAATTAATACGTAATTACGTAATAATAATTATGCAATTATCTCTTGTAGTAGACACAGGTTTGGGTAAGTCAGATAAAGAGATTTAACATTTATTCGTTTTGATCTTCTAATTAAATTTATAAATAGATGTAATTTCTCTTCGCGTAATGCAACTTGTTTTCGATTTTCAGACTTTTAAGTCGAACTAGTAGTAATGATCTTGAGAAATAAATTTTCGACTAGATGAACACAGTAAACTTTAATCGAGACATCAGCTGGAATATCAAATGACGAGCTGTGACGATCAAAACCCACAGGAATTCGTGCACCGTAAGGTGCGTGGCTATCGATAGCGAGACTGGGCCGAAGACACGTAACATTCGCGCGTAACATTCCGGCCGTTGACTCGTAACGGGTTCGTTCTATGGACTTGGGTTCGTTCAACGAGACGTACTTGTGCTGGTCACGCCGACTTTTTTTACATGCCACGATTTTCCATGGCTATCGTTTAAGTCTCGCAACCGCATATTGCCAACTGGCCTAATAACCTTTCGATAGTCAGAGCGCTTTTATAATTTCTTTAAAAATAATTTATATATTCATGATAAAATTTTTTAATGAAACAAGAATCTCCTTTACTATCTCTTTCTATTCTGTAAAACAATATTTCGAAAAAATTAAGTAAGAGATGTACATTTATATCTCTCCCTCTCTCTATAATTTATGAAATATTTATTAATTATTTCTAATGTCCCGATTATCCCAAGTGTATATTAACCGAAATTGATTTTTCTTATCGGAGAATGAATTTTTTTTTCACATTGTTTTTCTCGATGGGTCGATGCACCATGCACGCATTATGTGCATAATGACTGTTTACCAGTACGCGTTGCGCCGCATTTCCGTTTCAACATCCCACAGCATTGCAGCCGGACTTTCCGAGCTTTTCCCGGTCTCACGAGTTTGGTCATGTTAACACGCCCACATCTCGCACGAATTCCCGCGAACGCGTATCGTGCATCATGCGCGGCATGATTGCAGCGATGCAATTCATAATCGTGGACAGGTGGGAGCAAAGTAGGTTGAGTCTTCAACATAAAGCGTATCATTCGATTGTCGAACGGAAGAAACATCGCGTGTTCGCGATGTTAATTGCTCGAGCGATCGAGAAGGAATTTGAAAATGCTTTCCATATTCAGCACTCGACTGGGAAGAATTGACATGAAACAGGCGCTACGCGCAAACATTTCGAAAAGATAATTTTGCAGGAGAAGCCGATGATGTGTCAAGGCTGATAATATTGCGAGAGACAGCGTAGGTGTCAAGAATATTTATGAAGGACGAAGCGCGAATATATTATAGTAAACAGAGAATTCATTTTCTCTCTAATAATTTTACGTGAATAAAATTTACAAATCTAATTTTCTCTCTCAGATTTCAATTGTCGTTGCTCGCAAACTTTTTCTTTACACGATGAGAACACCTACCTAAATACGCGAAACTATTTAGCCCAGTTTTAATTACACGAGTCTCGTGTAATTAGCGGATAGATTTCTTTGTATCTCACGGGATCGACTTGCCATTGCGTTCGCGTGCGACTATATTATGGGCAGGCGTAAAATCTGTGAAAATCTAGCTCACCTTTCACGTTTTTCGCGCTCGCCACTGCGATATTCCGAGACTTCCGGATTACAAAGGGTTCGTGATAGCGGAATCACCTACATCGCCAGTATGCGATTATAATGTGCATTCCCAACGTTCGAGGCCGACGAAAGGAACAACATGCGGACCTTTCACTCACGATCTGATTGTTTCCGCGCAAATATGTAAACGTGCTCTTTTCCGATAAACGAGGATATCGCGCTCATTTCCTTCCTCCGCTTCGTGAAAAAAATGACTCGGCGAGCCTCCCGGCATGGGAAAATATTATGAGATCAATAAAACCGATGAGTAAAATATGTATCATTATACTTGTGGGGATAAAGCAAAGAATATTTGAGATTTAAATTCCCAGAGGATGTAACTTTTATTTAAAAATAAATAAAACTCTCTCACTTTGAAAGCAGACTATTGTGAACGCAGAATGCCAGTGCGAACTGATTCATTAATTACATAATTCATCCTGTTATTCTCTTTATTATTTGAGAGATATCTTGCGTAACATTTTTATAATTGTGGAATTTAAATTCTGCATAATTCTTACCTGGAATAAAATAATGGCAAAACTCTGAGTTAAAACCTATTATATGTAAAGCAGGAAGATTATTCAATATTCTTTACACTGTAATATATTTTGCATTCCGAATGTAAATCTTCATATGATTAATTTATTGTGCTTTTTTTCTAATTTGAATAATCAAATAGTAAGATCCTTTTCATTTTTTATTTTTATATTCTTTGTTACAGATTTAATTGGATTTTTCTTAATATGTGATAAAGATTGTTGTTTTATTATATATGACATAGAATATTGACATAATATATTATTTTGCACATATGTATTATTATTTTTACATGTAATTTACTCAGAATTTGATGATTACAATTAAAATTAAAATTCTTCAATGAGAGACTTCAATGACATGTGATTCGTATGAAAATTCTACGCTTGTAGCGATCTTCTATGGAATTTTCAGAGCGCAATGGGTGATTTGGATTTCCGTATTTACTAAAAAAATGAGTGACTGAAAACGCGCGAGTGCGTGTAATGAATTAATTAAACTGGTCATCGTTACGGGGCTGAATCTCGGAACACTTGGCAATGGGAGCACGCTGCTAGTTAGCGCAGCGCACTTTATTTTATCGTTAACTATAAAGCACGGAACTCGTTAATAATCATTATTCATTATAACGAATGATTCGCGTGAAAAAATGCATATAAAATTTATCTTAATATGTATATATATTACGGAACTGAGAAGCGATTCTGACAAGTTTCCGGTTAAATCTAAACTTATGTTAGTAGATTCTTTCGTTTAAATTCGAGATTAACCATAAGTCGAAAAGAAAGAGTAATGAAGTAATTAAGGAATATTCCTGTAATAAATTTAGCATTACATATGTAATTTTAATTTTATGACTAAATTGTGAAATTATTGGAACATGCTTTTAATTTAATGTGTTAACGATATATATATACGCACATTGCACGCACGCACGCGCGTACAATGCACTCGTTTTTAACATTCTGGAAATAATCTTGAGAGTATCGCCTAATTACGTGATCAAGCCGCTGAAATAATTAAATCGTAAGGGGTTCAATTAGTGCTTCTACCACGCTAGTAATCGGTAATCGCTAGAAACGTTATTAGAGTATGACTGAATGATCATTTTCCACTTCCTGATGCTAGTGACCTTACGTACGATGCTATCAGCAAAAAATAAAACAGTTTTCTTATTTGATTTTTTTCAGTGATGATCATGACAATCCAAATGTTTCATCATCAATAGTCTCCAAAAATATTTTCATAGATATAGATTTTATTGACTTTTATTTACTTTATGAATTAGAGAATACTTTTTAGCAAATAATAATGCAGTTAATTAAAAAGAGATTGTATTTTTTTGGGAAAGTCTTCCATCCAACCGTATTATAAACCTATTG